TGCCCCTTCAGCCCCTTCGACAAGTCCAGCACTACGCGTTTTGCAAGGTTTTCTTCCGTTTCTTCCCCCGGAGGCTTGCCTGTGTAGACCTGGACTTTCCAGCAATAGCTGGATCTTGAATCGCACGCTACCCACAGTTTGATGCCGGACTTGCTGGGTATGTGTGGCATGTTCTCCCGAAACGGGCAGCTGCCTACAAGAAGACATACGGAGAACACTTAGTGGTGTCAAATAAAGCAATCAGAATAAGATTTTAGGCAAATAAAAAAATTCTGGTAACACTTTACAATATCATTCCTTTAGTGACTACGTAACCCAGTCTTACTCAAGTACATATCGTGAACAAATACAGTAACCGCTTGAAATAAATGATCAGTTACGATTATTTGATGATAAACGTAAGGTCGATATACATATGTACATTAATCAATAGAAGTGTTAACATCAAACTTGTTCAAAAAACAATTTTTATACATAAAAACTATAAATTGTTGTAACAATGTAGATCAATGTAGACAAGTAATAAAAAACATATACTACTCACCTCTGAAGGGAACCAGGTGCTCGTCAATTGTTATATCACGGCCGGGATTATACATAATGGAAAGGTTGCTTGACCACGTGTCCCATACGTCCCGGACCGCAGCCAGCTTGTCAGTCGATTCCCTCAATGCTCTCGACTCTGGATTGTAGAACGTGACGACATGTAACAAGTCAAAAAATCTTTTTCTGGACATCGTCGCCCGGAAAATCCACCTTCCCATTTTTCTGTCCCACAGCTTTCTAATGGATTCCTTACTTGATTGAAAACCCCCTGCCAAAATTAAAAGACCCATAAATGCCTTGAATTCAGTCGCTGTTAATTCTTGCCAGTCGTTGGAGAACCTCCTTTCCCCCTCCAGGTTTGTCATATCGATGATGATCTTCTCCATCGATCCTGGAAAGAATGACATAAATGTAGACGTTATATCCTTGGCTTGGGAAATGCAAAACCTTGTTGGCCCCGGAGTGATCTTCAATATATACTGCGCTGGCACCCTACGTCCTTTATCTGGTGCACGTGTACACCAGCTGATTTCCCCTTTTTTTGACAAGCATTTCTTTTCAAAATATTCATCATCCGAGGAGGACAATTGTGCATTTCTCGACAAGTATGGCTCTTCCTCTTCAGAACATCCTTCCTCCGAGAAGCTCATTTGCCGAGTTTTGGACAAGCGTGTCTCTTCCTTTTCAGAACATTCATCCTCCGAGAAGCTCATTTGCCGAGTTTTAGACAAGCGTGTCTCTTCCTTTTCAGAACATTCATCCTCCGAGGAGCCCATTTGCCGAGTTTTGGACAAGCGTGTCTCTTCCTTTTCAGAACATTCTTCCACCGAGAAGCTCATTTGTCCCTTTTCCGACAAGTATGTCTCTTCCGCTGCAAAACATTCATCCTCCGAGGAGGATATCTGCCCATATTTCGAAAAGTATGTGTCTTGCTCTTCAAAACATTCATCCTCCGATACCTCAACA